GGAAGCTAAGGCAAGCAATTCTAGGGTTTGGAACTATACCCACTGTCTGCACAATTCAGTTCTTTAAAATCCAGATAAAGGCATCTTCCTATGGTTCTTGGAAACCACAGACTAAATGGTAAAATAGTCTAATACAATTCACAAATAGAACGTTTCACACTATTTTATATATTTAAATATTATTGAGAGGAAAAAAGTATACTGATTTTAAATCTTTTTTCTTAACAGACATGCAAAATTACACCTGAAAGTGTTGTGTTTCTTTTCATTTTTTTTACTATTGAGGTATAATTGACATACACCATTACATTAGTTTCAGGTGTACAACTTAATGATTCGATATTTGTACATATCACAAAATGATCACAGTAAGTCTGGTTAACATCCATCACCATACACAAAGAACTTGTACTCTTGTGATGAGAACTTTAAGATTTACTCTTAGCAACTTTCAAATATGCAATATAGTATTATTAACGATAGGTGCCATGCTGTACAGTACTGTGTGTTTCTGGTTTTGTTTTTGTCTTTTTTTTTTAAGATTTTATTTATTTATTTGAGAGAGAGAGAATGAGAAATAGAGAGCACGAGAGGGAAGAGGGTCAGAGGCAGAAGCAGACTCCCTGCTGAGCAGGGAGCCCGATGTGGGACTCGATCCCGGGACTCCAGGATCATGACCTGAGCCGAAGGCAGTCGCTTAACCAACTGAGCCACCCAGGTGCCCTGTTTTTGTCTTTAAGTAGGCTACACGCCCATCGTGGCCCCCAACATGGGGCTTGAACTCATCACCCTGAGATCAAGACCTGAGCTGAAATCAAGAGTTGGATGCCTAACCGACTGAGCCACCCAGTCGCCCCTGTGTGAGTGTGTTTTTTAAGGAGAACCAAGCAATCATCTTTTTACTTAAATTGATATTTATATATTGTTCAGGTGAAGGTGAATAAGCAAGGACTAGACTAGTCCATAAGTGTTGTTAGAATCTACATCTGAGACCCAAGAAGAAAAAAGGAAAAACTGCCTGCCTAGAACAGTTCATTAAGAGAATGAGAGGTACCTACAATGTATACTTTATAACTATTTCCTGTAACAAGTACTTTCCAAATGCCTCCAGGTTTTTCAGAATCAACTGTAGATTCTAACTATTCTAACCACATTTAAAAAATTGTCTTAGGGGCGCCTGGGTGGCTCAGTTGGTTGAGCGACTGCCTTCGGCTCAGGTCATGATCCTGGAGTCCCTGGATCAAGTCCCGCATCGGGCTCCCTGCTCAGCGGGGAGTCGGCTTCTCCCTCTGACCCTCCCCCCTCTCATGTGCTCTCTCTCTCTCTCTCTCATTCTCTCTCTCTCAAATAAATATTTAAAAAATAAATAAATAAAAATAAAAAATTGTTTTAAAAACTGACACTTCTCAGCTGAGTTTATATAAGTTTTATTTTTGCCCTACTTTAAGTCTTCTAAAATAAACTTCTTGTATTTATGAGATCTTTATACATTTTAAACGACTGGTAACTCAAGCTGGTACATAGCCATGTCTATTAACAATCCTTACATCCGGGGTGCCTGGGTGGCTCGCTCAGTCGTTAAGCATCTGCCTTCAGCTCGGGTCATGATCCAGCCAGGGTCCTGGGATCGAGCCCCACATTGGGCTGGCTCCCTGTTCCGTGGGAAGCCTGCTTCTCCCTCTCCCACTCCCCCTGCTTGTGTTCCCTCTTCGGCTGTGTCTCTCTGTCAAATAAATAAATAAATAAATAAAATCTTAAGAAAAAAAATCCTTACATACTTAGAGTTTATAATTTTCCAAGCACTTCCATGTGCTTTAATCTAATAATGTGATCCTCACAACAGCCCTGTCAGGTAGGTTGTATCCCTATTTTAATCGATGAGAAACTCAGAGTTCAGAGAAGGTGAGTAATAGCCCCAAGTCACAGAGCTTGTACATGACTGAGCAGTTACCTGGATCCAGGTAGAATAAAAACTCATCAGGAATATTCTTAAAGGAAAGGCTCAATAATGAAAAGTGGAAATCAACAGATTAGTGAGAAGGGTAGGACCCAGTAATAATGAAGCTGAAGAAACTGTAGTGGATCGTGAGGGGTTAGGGACATGTTCTGCTAATAATGAAAGAGACCATTAATGGCACCCTTACAAATAACAGCATTGTTGCTATTAACAATGGTGATGGCTGGCATGTATCACATCCTTACTATATGTCAGGCCCATGCTCTACGTGCATTCTCAAAGAAGCTGTGACGTAAGCATTATTCCTACATTCCAAATGAGAAACTGAGGCTTGGAGAAGTTAAGTATCTTGCCCTGGGTCACAAAAATCTTAAATCCTGATGAGGGGATTCAAATCCAGGATTCTAGAGCTCTGGCTCTGAAACATGATATTAAGAAAACAATGCTTCCCAACTTGGGCCATTCCTGGGCCACACACCTCAAGACATGAAAAAAGTGTACAGGGTTATCCAGTGCCCAGGACAGGGCTTATCACACAGAAGGACCTTTAATTTCTGTTAGATGAAATGTATTCCCTATGTCCTACAACTAGCTGTTTGGGCGGGGGGGGGGGGATTATTAACACCTCTCAGAAAGGCAGTGTTTTGGGGTGACAAGTAGTAAACTGGAGGAAGGGGGTACTATATACCAAACATTCTAAGGCTCTGAAGTCTGATTTAAACCTGAAGATCTCTAGGGTAGATGAAGCATGAAAGGTTAGGCTCTAACCATACAAAACAATCAAAAAAGATCCTAAATTGCTGTTAAGCTCATGGTCTATAACCTGGACTGTGCTAGACAACATCCTAAGACTTTCAAATGTTTCTCTTCATTCTGAGGAAGCAAAACAGGTTCAAGAACAAGATATAACTAGCAGGTTCCTGAATCAGTCAAGGCTAGACATAGTAGTGGTAAAAGAAAATTCAATAATTCAAAGAGAAGTCTTACGTCCTCCTTCTTCCTTTGAAAATAGGTTCGGCTTGTTAGAAAGTTTAGTTTACCAGGCACCGAAACTCAGGGGTGGCGGAAAAGAATGGAGAACGTCAGAAGAGTGCCCAGCCACAAGGCCTTTGCGTTCCTGGAACACTCCAAGCTCTTTCCCACTTTAGAGCCTTCATACACACTGTTTCCTTCTGACTTTAGCATTAGCGTCATCAGACAGGTCTTCTTAAACCATCTCATCAAAGCAGTCTACCCTTCCCCATTACCTTCCATCACAAAACCCAGCCTGTTACCTTTGTAACACTTTTCTCCATTATCTACCTGCAGATTGTCTTCCCTCCCCCATCCCACCTGGAGGGTAAGCTCCATCAGGGATGCGACTCCCCGGTTCACTCTTTTCTGTATACCTGGCACTACACTACCCTAACCCTAACCAGCACTGGGCAGATGCTCAATAAATTTTTTTGAACAACAAAAATGAATACATTTATATACATCTTTTTCAAACTATCAGCCTTCCTACCCTCCCCCATGAGCTCCCTGCCAAAAAAAAAACTTGCATTATTTTTATAAGCTTTGTAAGTCACCCATTTTGCATAAGCAATACAATCCTAAGTTGTCATTTTGCTATTTCATTTCCCCACCAGCAACAACTAGACTGGAAAGCTGTAAGATCAGGATATCCATATTTTACTTCGTCTGTATAGTATGTTGTGCAACACAGTAGCATCCAATAACTAATTCAATTTGAATTAATTATGAGAGCCTGCACAGAAAGCGTCCTCTGAGCTCCGACATCATCCTGTCTATATATCACCATTCTTTACGCGTATTAAAATTATCTCATAGGGAGGGCAACCGAGATATAAAAATGAATAAAATCCTGTCTCTGCTTCCTGAATCACAGACACTCTCATAAACACGAAATAGACAGTTGAACGTAACACGGTTCAGACGCGCCTAGACACACGGTTAAGATAGACCAAAGCGCCTTTTAGGAAGATTTTCATCAAAGAGTAACCATGGCGACACTGACCACCAAGGGTACCCCGACGGATTCCGCTAATAACGTAACATAAGCAGTTAGCTGAAGTCGCCAAGAGATTTCTGAGATTCCCTGTTTTAAAAATAACATTACTACTCGAAATTCCACAGGAAACTTAAGGAAATGGCCCCCGATGGGCTGGGGCCTGGTATTTTCACAACACCCCCCCTTGTCAGGAGCTATACGGATCTAAACGCGCATTCCCGGTGGGGAAAGCCATTAATTAGAAAGCTGTCTCGGATGTCCAGACACGACACAGTACCACTTTGGCCCCTGCCTATTTCCTGCACCTCTCCATGTAAACCGAATCCGCTCTTCTCGCTTCTGTACTGGTATTTTGTGCCTGCCATGCCAACACGGGCACCCCCGGCCCCGGACAAACCGCCCCTCCCGGGCCCGCGGCTGTCTACACCGCCACCTTACAGGTGGCACAGGCCTGAGCACCCCCTCCCCCACCCCCCTCGCCCTCCAGGCGCACAGAACCCCCGCGAAAGTTTGGAGGCGCGGGGTCCCGCAGCAGCGCCGGGCGGGGAGGTCAGCTCGGCGGGCGGGCCGGCTCCAGCTGCGCCCCGCGGGGAGCCAAGATGGCCCTGAGCGGGGCCCCACTGCGGCGGCGGCGGCGGAGCGCCGGGGGGCGCCGGGCTGGGGCTGGGACGCCACCGCCGCCCCGCCGCCGCCGCCTACCTGCGCGGCCGGGCCCCGGGACCAGGCGGGCGCGGGCCCGGAAACGCGGGCAAGGCGGCGCCAGGTGAGCGGCGGCGGTGCG